TTTGCACACTCTTGTGCATCTCCTTTATTCTTAAAAATGGGGATCAAAATACTCTTCCTCCACTCCTCAGGCATCTTTTTTAGTTTTTAAAATAATATTAAAGAGTTTAGTAAGCCAAGAAACTCCCAAATCTCCCAAATATTTCCACACTTCAATTGGGATATCATCAGGTCCTACAGACTTTCCACCCTTGGTTTTCTTTAAAGCCTCCTCAACTTCTTTTTTGCTAATGCGACGGTAAAAATGAAACGTTTTATTATTATTTACGATATTAAAATCACTAAGTTCGATCGTATTTTCAGAAACTTCATTAAAAAGTTTATCAAAGTAACTCACCCACCTATGTTGAATATCTTTTTCTAAGAAAAGTACTTTTTGATTTTCATCTTTAATACACTTTACTTGAGTTAAATCTTTACTTTTCTTTTCTCTTTGTTTGGCTAGTTTATACATATATTTTTCACCCTCCTTAGTATCTAATCTATTATAAAGATAATTAAAAGCAGAATTTTTAGCGTCACAGATTATTCTTTTAGACTCCCTGCGGGCCGTTTGATATTTTTTCCAGTTTTCTAAGCTTTTACATTTTAACCAATTTTTATAACATAACTTCTTATATTTTATCTTTTCTTGCACATTATTATTCCACCACCAACTATTTTTATTTGTAAATATTTTTCCCTTTGATTCTCCAAGAACATCTTTTGCTACATGTTTAATAGCGTTTGTTACTTTATCCCACATCACATTTGCTTCTTCATGAATATCCCAAATTTTGAAATCTTGAATTTTACTCATAAAATTAATTTTATTTGTATCTTTTAAGTTTCTCCATCTTATTCTGCAATGATGAGTCCTAGTATTTTTTATTTTACAACTCTTAATCTTAAAATCTAAAACTAATAAACGATGTTGGGTATTTAAATTTTCACTTGGAATGACTTTACAATCATTACAATCACGACGATCTCTTCTTCTCATAAGAAAATAATCAATTTGTGTTTTATTAGATCCACTCTTATAAGTAATAAGATGTTCATCCCTTTTCTTGAATAAAGTATTAGTAATAACAAAATCAAACGCTAAAGCAAAATCTAAAATAGCTTTACCTTCTTCATTAGTTACTCCAAAACCGTAGCCACCATGAATATTTCTGAAATCTTCTACCACTCTACCGACATGTCCATTTAAATCTCCTCCAATAAAAATTCTTTCTTCAAGAGGTATCATTTGTATTAAGTCTTCTAAGTCATTCCAAAATTTATCTTTAGACTCTGTATCTAAACCTACTTGAGGAGCATAAACACTTATAATATTAAAAATCTTAGTATCAATGATAATCTTAAGGGCTATAATTCTATCACCAACTCTATTAATTTTTACAACATTATCTTTCAAACTCTTATCTATAATTACACCTACACCATTTCTAGTGCGACTCTTACCAGAATACCAAAGTTTAAAACCTAAATTATCAATCTCCTTAGCCTTTTCTCCCACCCACTTAGTTTCTTGAATACATAAGATATTAATTTTCCTATGAATCATAATATCAACTAATTCCATTAATTTACCATTGAGAGTGCCTATATTCCAAGATCCTATCCTAATATTAGTTTCATTAGTTTCATGGACTAACTTCTTTACCCGCATTCGCCCGTAATGTGGGAACCCTTGCTTATTTAACACTACACCCGGGCGCCGGTGTAGCGGCCCTTGCACACTTTTCACTGTATTCAGGCTAAACAGCGCGTCGCTTCCAGGGGACGCCCTAGCACTTACACAATGATCAAAAGGATTCATGTCATGATTTTTTCGACAAGTTTTACGCTGGTTGTCGACTACCTAACGCAACCCTCCACTTTTCTCATCCGGACTTGGGACCGGCAACGACAGTGTTAAAGCATTCTTTAGTAGATTAAAAAAAAAATAGACTTCATTTTTACATACAATGATATAGGAATAATATAGATAGAAAATTAAAATTTCATTTTCTCTCACAAACTCAAATAGCTTCAAAATTATTGGAAATTGATGCATCTAACTTTAGACCTGGAGGAATCTTAAAACAAAATCATTCACTGGCATCATGGAAGTATTAGTCCGATTCACTTCTGGCTGATGGATTTCCACACAATCTAAATATTTAACCATAAAAAAAGCTTTCCAATAGTAAAATCTATTGAAAAATTTCAAGATGATATGCTGAATAATAAATTCTTATTACGAATGAATTGTAGTGCAACAAAATCTAATACCTTGAAAGATGTAATGCTGCAAAGTACATTTTTATGACCTACCAAGCTTAATTATCAATTTTTTATTTTGATATTAAATATATTAATGGGCAAACCAGTTCTCTCATAATTGTCTGATTTCTAAACCCGACAATCTTCGCAGCATAAATCAGCGGTGGGTCACCTTCAAAGAGAATCAATGACCTTGCATAATCATTCAACATGAGGAAAAAATATTATATCAATAGTCCTGATGCAAAAATGCATTAGAACTCCAATCACTATTAGCCGCATGTACAGTCCGACCTCACAATGTATTAAATTATTTAATTTTTTTTATTAAAGGGGCCCGGACTGTACATGTGACAGACAATGATTGGAGTCCTGATGCATTTTTGTATCATGACTCCTGATGTAATATTATCTCTTGAGGGGGTCAAACCACTTGTGGCCGGGGGAAAGGAGATCCCTCCGAATGTTAAATCTTACAACTTATAGAGCAAGACATGATTGAATAGGAACAATGAACTTTTTGACCACCCTCATTATGAGAAAATATTATATCCGGCAAATCAGACGTGCGTCGATGGGGTGAATCGCATCATGCCGCTGGACGCACGTTGCGGTGCAATCCACGCCGTCATCCGCACGATATATGTAATATTTTCTCTCATTTGAGTGACTTCTTTTAATAAAATTCTGACCATATTTTCCAGTATTTTCAGGAATTTTTTTTTCATGTTTTATTAAAGCAACTTTTGAATTAAACCCCACCCAAAAAAAAAAAAAAAGAAGTTTAAAATTCCTTGATTAGAACTCTCTTATGAAATTTACCACTGCAGCTCTGCAAGGGGCAGCCCTAAACGGCAGCAGCTACTGGACAAAGTCGGACACAGTCAGGTTATTTCCTCATCAAACCCACTACAATTAAATTTTGCGCCATTATCATTCTGGTTTATGCTGCAAATTCTTGCTTTATTTATTTATTTTTTTTGATGCAGGTACCTTATTTAGATGATCCTAACACTGGAGTTAAGCTGTTTGAAAGCGCCTATATTATTGAGTATCTCAGGGAGACATATGCTCTTGACAAGTGAAGTTTTTCTGAAACTCTTTAGAACTCTCATATTATTTAGTATGATTTAAATATGTGTACAACATGGCATGCATTTTGTCACATGTAAATTAAATTTATTAAATGAAGTGATTATGTCTATAGCAATTCGATTCATTGACTATATTTGAATTTTAATTTGTATTATATGTTATAAATAGCAATATTTTAATTTTTATTATGTTTTCTTGTCCAGTATTTGTGCTTAAAGTTGGTAGTATTTGCAACATGCATTATGGAGAAAATTTTTTCATGGATTAAGGATAAAATTTTAGTCAAATCGAAGTATTCCAATTCAAATTTGATTATGATTTTTTTTTCTATCTTTTAAATTAATTTTAGATGCATGTAATAATAGTGATTTGATTAATGTTATGTAATGTGTATACGAGTTGAGTTGAACTCAAGTCATGCAGAACTCGAGCTCGGCTCGTGATACTAATAGTAGGTTCGTGAGCTCAATGAAAATTGCAATCAAATATCACTAGAAGTCATCCATGTAGTTGGTGGAATGAGAGAATGAGAAGTGCCACTGACAATTCATCTTTGAAGTAATTGACATGACCAAAAGATGGCTCCAACAAGCTCTTTTGATGAGATTGAGCTTGTGCTTGTTTAATGAATGAGCTTGAGTTTGTGCTCGAGCTCATTAACGGCCTCAAGTTGGCTTGTGAGTTTGCTTGGCTCGCTAGCACCTTTAATATGGACGAAAAATTTTCAATAAAGTTTTTGGCTAAATGTTTGAATTTGATTAGCAAGTTTAATACATGATTATTTTTTAGAGAATTGTTTTTAGGTTGGTCTAATAAAATTTTTATTTTCACAGTTTATTAAGGTTTTAGCTTAATTTAACACTGGAGATTTATCTTGAGAGTGTCATTAATGCTTGATGATGCTATTTCTCAAGTTAATAATATGTAGAGCAAACGCTTTATTGAGGACATTTGCAATTTAATTATTTTATATTCTTAATACATTATAATATAGTTTTTTAAATGAAATCTTCATTACACATCATAGTATTTTACATGTATACCAACTTAATTATGCATAAAATGTGTACTTTATTTTTCAAAAATTAAGATGATATTTTTGATGTGATGTGAGAGATTTTGGTGGTACCAATGTAAAAAAAAAGTTGTTAGATATCTAAAAACAGAGGAATTGGGTGGTATGTAGTCAATAATTATGTTTACCCAATGTTAAGGAAATTATTTCGAAAGGGTCACGTTTTAATTTCATCACAGAATAAGATCACGAGATTGAACAAAAAATTTATGAAAACACAATCAAAGCATACAAAAATTTTATGTGGAAAAACTCAAAAACGGGAAAAAATCGAGTCACATCAGTACAAATTTTACTATGTAATTCAGAAAGTTTTATAAAATACAAGTTTCTTCGTGAAGATTTATAGGATTTGCACCAACAATCTTCTCTCTCTAATTCGGCATAAAATTACTCCAAATCAATGATATTCATCTCTTCGACATTTCTCACATTCACTGGGTTGCTTGTTGAAGAGTTCATAAGAGAAACAACAAACATCAAGAAACCTGCTCAAAATTTGATTAAGAAACAAAATTTTTGTGTATTAACCGCTTAGGGCGCTTAGAATCCCAAACTTGCTCTCGGTATCAGCGCGGCTTCAGTGACAATGGGCACCGGACTCTCAGGAAAATAAATAGCGCTAGCACCATGTAAGGCACATTGGCGCCACATGGCCGGTGCATAGGTGTCGACCTTTCTGTTTTCAAGCACTTATAGGGTGCTTGAGCGCTCATGGCTGGCGCCCAGGCACCAACCTTAAATACTGCTTTAAATGTTTTTCCTCCGCACATCGAAACACCCAATTCCATAAGGAGGCATTAGAGATCATTTTTATAATTCATATTTTACTTTCAAATATTATTTTCTTCTATTTTTAAATAAAAAATATTTTATATGATGTAAATATGTGCTCATTTATTTATTTTGAGTATTGACTAAATTTTTTTTATTTAAAAAAAATAAGCTAAATTAATTTTAAAGATAAAGTATAGAATATGTAAGCAACACATTAAATAAACAAGTTTTAAGAAAACAAAAATAAATCTCTAAAATTCATAAAAGCTCATAAGTTGGCTGAAATATTAAGTGCGGATGAGATATGTGCAGATTTGGAGGTATTTTCACCACCACCACAATGCCAACAATCGACGTATAAGTTATCCGCAATTAATAATTGCTCTCGAAGTTTAGACAGTGCGACTCGCCAAATGGAGGTGCACATGAATATTAATGCTGTTTATAATATATTGCATGAGAAATTTACTTATTAACCTTAGAAATAACACTATTTAAAATCTATATTATTAAAAATGAAAGTTTTAATTTACAGGCTGTTCTGAATTTCACTGATTTTTAATCACACTAAAAGTTCATATCAATACCTAATTTTTCTATGCGGATTCCTGACGTAGCTCTACGTGCCGCGGAGGTTATTCCTGGGTTATTTTCAAGTTATTTCTAGGTTATTTTCAATAATCCCGAAATAACCCGCGGCTTTTATTTTCGGTTATTTTGGGATTATTGAAAATAACCTGAAAATAACTCAGAAATAACCTCCGGGGCACGTAGAGCTACGTCAGGAGTCCGAACAGAAAATGCACTCCCATATCAACCTAACTTAATGTATGATAAATTCAGAATAGAATTATGTCATATTATTTAAATTCAATGTCTTGCATCATAAATTTTACAAAGTTCTTGCAAAAAAAGCTCCAAAATGAGAGACATTAATGAGCATGCATAGCCCTTGATTCTTATGGATTCATGTATCACACCTAAACTTTCATATTTACAGTCATGACACTTTACTTATGTATCACATCTCAAGACTATGTCATAGGGGATTCAAACCCTCGACATGATGACTCTTACACCGTGGATGTCAACCAATATATATATATATATATATAACACAAACTTTAAACATTGCTTTTAACATTGCGCAAGAAAACATTATAATTATTAATTTTCTTCAAAATGAAATCATCTTTCTTATGCATAGGTTTAAAACACATAAATGTAAATATAAAATTTCAGCGGTGAGATATGCAAATGCAAATAGAATTGTGTGATATGCATGTAAATTTAAAGGAAGGGGCAGGAGCATTAACATACATACCACCACTCAATTCATATGTATTTACAGATGTAACATTTAAACTTTGCATTCTAACTTTTTCATATTACATATAAGATATCATCAGTTTAATTTTTAAAAAATAAATTAAATTTTATCATACACAGGGAGGGGTGTAAACGAACCAAACACGAACGAACATAGCTTGTGTTCGTGTTCGGTTCATTTGAAATTTTGTTTGTTTGAAATAAGTTCGTGTTTGAAATTATTCGTGAAGTCACTGTCCGTGTTCGTTTCTTAACGAACAAATCGAACACGAGCTGTTTGCGAACGACGAGCCAGTTTGACATCCCTAATATTAATATATATAAATAATATATTATATTAATTATATAAATATATAATATCTATATTAGTATATTACTAATATAGTATATTAATATATTATTACTATTAATTTATTATATATTATAATTTTTAAATATTAATTTTTTAAAATATCATAAATTTTTAATATATAATTTTTTTAAATTATTTTATATTTCGAACAATAATGATTCGAACATGAACGAACGCATCACTGTTCATGTTTTGTTCGTTTAACTAACCGAACGAAAAAAATTTGTTCACGTTCTTTTTGTTTACTTATTGAATGAATCGAATATGAACTCATTGATGAACCAAACACGAACTGTTCACGAACAACGAGTTTTTTTGACAGCACTATACATAAGGTAAGATATAAACGCAAGTTTATATTTTATGTTATATATGTCAGTACATAAGAATTTTGTGCTATGCATGAAAATTTTAAAAAATAAAAGAGATAAAGAAATCACTCAGTCCAAAATTTTCTCTTTTCTTTGTCCTCGAGCTTGATCTGCGGTTCTGGAGCTCACAGTCAACATTGGTTCTCAGCTCGAAAGTAGGGTTTGGTTTTCCTGGAGCTCGGGAACCCTATCCATGTCTGCGAGGATCGCGTCGAGGCAAATTGTGCGCAGACTCTCTTCCAGCGGGAAAGTCCTTGGCGAGGAGGAGAAAGCTGCGGAGAACGTGTACATCAAGGTTCACCCCGCAATATGATTTTTAGTCTACATTATTTTCAAATTTTTGGTTTTTTTTTTTGGCTTACAATGTCAATTTGAACTACTTATTCCCCAAAAGATTGACGGATGATGTCGTTATTTTTTTTTGTTTTGCATTTGTCTGAGGATTGGGAGATCTAACTTCTGATTGTTGCCTTGGTTGTTATAATCCGGCTAGCAAATTCGGTTGTAGGTTAATTTCTTATGATTTTAATTATGAACAGCCTTTGTTGGATTACAGTTGGGAAAAAATCTCTTTACAGCCAAATATGGCAGAAACATCGGCGATCAATCCCTGTCGAAGTTGTTTTTGATCGCCCTGCTATTATTTCTTCCACGATCATTTTACGGGAAGGGAAAAGGAGCATAAGTTGACGGTGTGAAGCTTTATCTGAAAGGATCTGACATCAATTTGCAGATGGTGAAAATAGGTTTCTCGAACTGATATCATTTAAAGAAAGCACTGATATCATTTAAAGAAAGTAAAGAAAATTAAAGTAAAGGTGTCATTTGTATTATTCTTTTGAAGTTTTAGTAAAGATAAAATTGCTTTGGTTCCATTGCAAGTGCGAGGCTGCTAGTGACCTTATCATCTCTTATGCAGCTGTACTGCAGGCGGAAAGATTTAGTTGTTTTCTTCATGACCGAATTATTTTTAAAATTTTCCTTTTATTTTGTAATGGTTTAATTTTCTCTTCTTTTATTTAATTGAAGTTATTTTAATTTTTCAAATTGCATTTAATTCAGTTAGATTTTGAACTTGTCAGAAACTCTTACCCTAGATTTTTTTGCTTTAGTACGCATGTTTAACTAATTTGTTTCCATGGTGATGCAGAAAATTGAGCAAGAGAAGTTGGAGAAACTGGCACGAAAGGTAGTTTAGTAACTTCTCTCATTTGTCTCCTGTTATCTATTTTAACATTTTAATCTTTATTTATATTGATGGTATATATTCTTGGTATATTTTAAAGTTTCAAAATCTAAGTGCCGCCACTTCCTTAGAGTTCTATTAGACTATTATAGGAGAGTGTACGTAAACGAGCCGAGTCGAGCTCGAGCCACTCTCAACTTGAGTTTGAGCTTGATTAATTAATTAAGGGTCTGTGTGGGGCAGCTGCTACTTATCCAACTTATCCAGATAAGCTGTTGATCCTGATTAATTGTTGATCAACAATTGATCTGGATGAGTTGTCTGACTGTTTGGTTTGAGTGTTTGGAAAACAGCTGATTCTGGATAAATCATCATTCTGACATTTTTTTGGATACTATAATTATTTTAAAAAAAATAGAAGAGTCAGAAAATTGCATTAAAAAATCATTCAATTTTAAAAAAGATTAATAAAAAAATACCCAATTCAATTTTGATATAAGAATATAAATATGAAAGATTTATATACATGCTAATCAATTTCTATATATTTACATATCTAACACCAAATCATTTCCCCCTCCTCCTCCTACAAACTTATTTCTCATTCCTACCTCTACGGAGAGGCAGACCCCTCCTCCTCCCCCTACGCGCAGCTCCTCACCTGGCAAGAGCTACTCATCTTCAAGACCCTTCTCTCTGTCGTCACCTTAACCTCCCTCTGCATCCATGGAAACTCGTTTCTTCGTGTCGTCCGCACTTGCTTCGACCTCTACTTGCACAACCACAACACCATCAACCAGACAATCACTAAGGCCTCCCTTATTCAAATGCTCGTGATCGTATTCCGTCGAATGGAAGCGGACTCGTCTACTGTCCCCGTACAACCCATTGTTGTTACAGACCTTATGGCAGATCCCACTCCCCTTTGCCGCCGCATCTTCCGAATTTATTAGCTATGTGCAAAGCTTCATCACTAAAGACATGGATGTCGTCCTTAATCCGCCTACTCCGTCCGCTGTTGCGGCGAGATGCGTTTGAAGGAAATCAAGGCAAGGGCCTAAATAATACGAATGAAATGCGGCCCGCGAGGGTAATCCTGCAGGACGCGTGTTTCACAAAATTAAAACACAATTTTTGGGTACACACTTGAAATGCGCGATTCAAACACTGGGCGGTGTTTTCAAAATGCCACCCGCACTTTTAAGCTGGTCCCAAACGGGCCCTAAGTTAGGGCTCGAACTCGAGCTTAATTTTATGAGCTCGAGCTGACTCATTAACTGGCTTGTTTATCATCAAAGACTGGAAATAATAATAAAATAACAAATTGAATAAGCGATTTAGAGATAAATAATAAGAAATCATTTGATATAAAATGTAAACGACTTATTTATTAACTTTTTTGATAATTTAAAGGTAAAATTTTGATTTTTAATATAATTTAAGTATATTTTATGTTAATTATTTTTAAAAGAGTCGGCTCACATGCTAACTAGTTGAGTCGGGTGTGCTGTGGTGGAAAAAAATTATAAAGGCTTCCATCAAACATATTAAACGGAATAAAAGAGATAAAAGTGCCCTCGCTCATGGATGGACTGATTCATTGTTTTGATTTTACTTGCTAGCTGGATGTTTCTCTAATAGCTCCAGTGAATTAATCTAGTCCAATTCATTTTGATGTATTCCATTTTTTAGGTATTGTATGGTTTGAAGTAAAATAAGTTTAAACAAAATATTTGCATGTGCTTTGATAATATGGTTATTTGGCATGAATTAAAGCAGATGCAAAGTAAAAATTTGATATTTCAAGCATACATAGTAGGTAAACTTCTCCAACAAAGCAAAGGTGGCCAAATTGGGTGCATTTCTCTTACATTGTAGAGTTTGTTTGCAACAATCCCCTCATTTCTGGGCTATCCAGACCCTCGGAATATGGTATCTGGCTCAAGATTTAGAAAGAATTAACCTAGGTTTACCTTAAAACAACTACTATTCTAGTCACACGTTTTTGACTTTGTTGGAGTACCGACCCATTGGCCAATTCTCTTGTGGGGATGATCGGTTACCATAAAGAGCTGAAATAGGGTTTTGAGAGGGATGCCCTAATCGAAGCTAGAATTAAGCTTGTAACTTTTCGGTTTAGATTTACAATCTTGATCGAGTGATGAAAGTGGTACATAAGGGCATAGTTTATGCACTATCAATTAATTGGTATATATTTGTAGTAGTCATCTGATCATGATCTAATGTCCTAGAAACTCTGCATTATTTTGTAAAGATACATAAGGGTTTGGGGCCTCTGGGACACCTAATCCAATTAGAGCGTGCTAAGTCAATTAACCAATCGTTGTTTGCAAACCTTATCATGAAATACTAACACTAATGATTTGCAATGTTCAAGTGCAAATTCAAATCAGTATTCTAATTGATTTGACTCAGATTCACCACCCACTTAAGAAGAGAGACAAATTAGATGCAAATGATTTAAATTCATTTTGCAAATGTTAATCAAACTAAAAATTAATAAATAATAAAATAAAGATTGTAGTGAAAAATAAATAGGGGATGAATAGATCTAAATTTAATATTAGATTTTTTCACATAGAATTTGTTATTTTTGAATGGGAATTCAAGATAATTGGTGGACAGAATGATAAGAAGAACAACTTTTAGTTGTTACACGAAAATAAATTGAAAATATAATAATTCAAGGGTATTAGTGAATGTTATAAGTTATAACATTTTGGAAAGGTTACTAATAGGAATGATGTTGGTTTATTAGTGTTGATAAATAGTTGAAAGATAAAATTAGTTAATTTAATATGATGTTATTGATAGGGTGATTAAAATTAAGTTAATGATCTATTAGAAACTTATGAATGTCATTAGTGCTTATGTTACTCAAGTTTGATTGAAGATATTTTAAAAAATAAATTTTGGAAAGAGAGAGAAGAAATATGGTAACATATACTTGAAGAAAATATATTTATTGAAGGTAATTAAATGGACATATATGCTCTAGTAGAATTGGGTATAGGAGGATTCATGGCAGTGGTAGATAGAAATGCAATAGAGAAGCAAAAAAACGCTTATAATCTTGCAATAATGAACACATGCTTTATGAAATGAGAACTCTTAGTTATCAAAGTGGATTGATTAAATTGAAAATATATTTTTTGTCATTAGAAGAAAAGAAAAATATACTTGAGAAAGTTTAACTCAACAACATAGGATGATAGTCATGGATTTATATCACAAGAGAATGTAGAAAACAATCAAATTTTTTTTAGCTTTAAAATTAGGTTTATGGAATTTTATAGGTGAGGAATTGATAATCTTTCATGATATGTTTATAAGAGAGAAAAATTGATATTTTTTAGTTTAGCCAAATTTGATGTGTGATAAGATGTCTATTTCAGTTAAGATAAAATTTGTGTTTGTAGAAGTTTTAATATCGTTTAGAAACATGTTGATGGTAGAGTGAGGATATACAGAGGATTATAAGGAAAAGAAATATAATTTTAAAATGTGGCAAAAAAATTAAATGATACCGAGATTCATAATGATTGTAGGGAAGTTAGAAGTTTTTTTAAGATGCTAGTGAGTAAAGCAAAAACTATAGCTTATAATGATATTTATAATTAGCTTGGTAATACGAAATGAGAAAATGAGTAGTATTGCATAGCCATAGTGAAGAGATTAGAGATCTAGGGATATTGATCTTGTTAGATAAATTAAAAGCGAAGATAATATGATTTTGGCTAAAATGAGGACATTAAAGAAACATGAATATGTTATTATGAGAAATTACTAAATGATAGCTTTATTGAAGATTTTTTATTTTTGAATCAACATATTGAACAATATAGTGAAGTAGTATTCATTGATTCAAAAAAGTGAAGTTAATGCATCTTTGAAATAGATGCATAAACATAAAGAATTTAGGTCCAACTGAGATTCATGAAGGGATTTATATGGTTGAGGGACATTGTAGTTATTTGGTTAACTAATTTTTTCAATAGAATTTTAAGAAATAAGAAAATGTTAAGTGATCAAAGAAGAAATATGTTGGGATCGATATTTAAGAATAGAAATGATGTTAAAATTTTGTAAACTTTAAAAGAATCTAAGTTATAATTCATATCTTGACATTTTATCAGAAAGAAATGAAATATATGCTTTGAAAAATTACATCAATTTTGGAAAACTAATTTGATTTCATGTAGGAAGATCTAACATGGAAACAAATTGTGTACTAAGATAATTAATGGAGAAATATAGAGAACAAAGAATGGTTATTCATATGTTTTCAATTTATCTTCAGAAGATACATGATTGCATACCATTGAAGTTGATGCAGTGTATTTAAAGCCAGAAATGTGTGTCAAAGATTTGTTAAGGTTATTAAAGATTAGTATGATAAAGTAATAAATTTTTTGTGTCTCAAAAGTCACCAATTACTATAGATTTACATCGAAGTACGACTTCATTTTTTTTTTTTGTTATGATTATGGAGATGCTTGCCAAAGAATATTTAAACCGATGTGTTTTAGTTTATGCTTTTTATAAACATTGTTCTAATTAGTGAGACATCCATTGAAATGCATAAAAATTTTTGAATAATGGAAAAAATATTTAGAAGATTCAAATCTTAGAATTAGTAGAACAAATGCCCAGTATTATATATGCAAATTTCAGTGGGTATGATGTTAACAATTATCATTTGATATTATTAGAAGATAAGATGATATCTAGATTTAATAGATTTAAGTATCTTGAATCTCTTAGATAAAATAATGATGATATAGATGATGATGTAGCTCATAGAGTTAAGCTAGATAGAGAACTGTTGTGTGAGTTGTGTCATAAGAGGATATTATGTTGGCCTAAAGATAAATTTTACAAATTACAATACATTGCTAATATTGTACGGATTCAATGTTGGTTCTAAAAGCATTACTATTCTTGTTTACGTATTATAGAAATGAGAAAATTAAGATGAATGTTGGACAAAAAAAGGATGAATTAATGAATTATCATATTAAATTAGATGCCGGGGTGACATCTGTTGAAAATAAGGTAACTGAATGCAACCTTTTTGTACATGTGTTTATAAATTTGTTGTGAGAAAAATAATTTTTTGGAAGCAAATGTGAATATTATAAATATTTTCTTTTTTTAATAAGTAAGATGGCAACTTTCTTATAATTTTCATACTTTAATGAACCTGGTTCTTAAAAATAGCTTCCCATTATAGAAATTTTTGAAAAGTAACATGAAAGCAGTAATTTAGTGGATGTATGACGTGGGCTGAAATGTAAAGTTGTGAAAATGCTGCCCCAAATAGACCTTTTGACATGTACAATAGAAGGTAGAATGTGCACCTATTAGATGAGTTGATACTATGTGTTAAGAGAATTATGAAGGGAACAAGGGTAGAGTTACAAGGATAGAAGTTTTTCAAAATGCTTTACAAAGAATATGTTTATTATCTTTGAAGAATGAATTTAATACTTTGGACATCACTCAACATGAACAATTGAAGGATGACAATTCATAAGTTTGACAATAAATAGTTGTGATAAGTCTGATGATGGGATACAAATTTTGTTCTTTTATTTTATATAAAAAAATGTATGTTTTTTTTAATAATAATTTTGGCTAAAATATTAAGCTTTTTTCATTTATTTTATTTTAACAAATACATTTCTTTGGGAATATGAAATATTATAACTTTCAAATAAAACTTCAAAGTTATTTATCCAATTTAAAACCTTTCTTAAAATTATACGTACCATGAAATATGAAAATTAAATTTTAAACTTAATAATTATATTGAAGCTATCCAGAATTAGTACTTCACTGGTTTTGTTTAAATTGGGTCTGCATCACTTGTTAGCTTGCCTAGATATTATACGTCTATAAGAAATCATTAAGTAATCTTCAAATTTGATACTATATTTTATGCATGACAATTTTAGACTATATTTTATCTAATGATAATTTAAGGCTTAGGATTTCATAATGTAAATCGTTGATATAAATAAAAAATATGAAGGAATTTGGTGCGTGATTGAAGCATGAAAAACATATATTTGAAAGCATGTCATTGTAAAAGTTAGATTGTTTCAAATTTCATAAAACTCATTTGGCATAATAAATACTAAAAATTAGGGAAAGTCAGAGAAGATGAGTGATCCTTGATATTAGTATCAAGTCTTTGCACTTATATAAGGAGATATTCGGAATAACTCCACCCAAAAATCTCTACTCTCTATTTTCAATAAAAATATGCTAAAAAGAATTACATCCACCTAAAAATTTATTGAATCAACGTAGAAATGTTTTGTGCATGCCTAAGAGCACCTTATTTATACATAAATTCCTATAGATTTGTAATTTAAAAAAAAAAAAAAAAATTAAAGTCGGTTGCAGCCTTTCAAAAAGATTTAATTATAGAAGGACCATAGAAGAAACATAGAGATCCCATAAAAAACCCCAAGGGATTGTGAATGCAGAAGTTAATGTAGGAGTTGATATCACATGAATTTGCTATTTTGACTTAGGGATTAAATATCATGGTATACCTCATAGGTATTGTTGATCAACCCATCAACAATACCTCGTATGTATTTTTGATGGGTATATCGGTTCAATTCCTAATTTGACACCATTCTAGAGTTCCTAGAAGGGCGCATGAGGATCAAAATAAGTGTTGCTGATATTTGGGGAAGAGTTAAAAAAGGAAAAATGGGAGAATCAACAAGGATTGGAGAAGAAAAATTGATTTTGGTGCTGTCCAGTAGGAAAACAAAATGAAATAAATGCAGGAGATTTGATTTTTTTGGTGTCTGATTTGAAGTAAATTAAATGCAAAACATTTCTATATTGGAATTTAAGTAAACAAAATGTTTATTTTATGAATTTGAAATGCATAAAAATCAGGCGAATTCCAAACCCAGAAAATTCAGAGCTCGTGTTCTCACCTCTCCAATCCATGAGCTGTTACTGATTCCTGCCTTTGCCAGTCACCACCTTTTTTTATTTGTATGCATTTGAATTGCATCAGAAAAAATAAAAAAATATTTTAATTTATTCTATTTGCAGTCAACCAAATAATTGTATTTTTAAAATGCATGCATTCCAAATTTTTAAAATATATATTCTAAAAACATCCAACCAGACAACCCCTAAATTTACCTCACCTCTTTTTTTTCTTTAATAATACATGAAAATTGTCATCTGGTTAGGCCTTTTTGTCAAAGAATTTTACATACATACACATACATACAACACAATTCCTATGTATTTACATATCTAACTCCTGATATTTACACTTTTAACACCTTTGTGTCATAAGCTTGTGCATGAGAAGATGTATTTCACTTTTAAAAGGTAGTGATGGTGATATTCTTATATGATGTTAAAGATTCGAGCGATATTGCTAGTAAATATGAAGTTTAGGTGTTGGATAAGTAAATATATGAGAATTTTGTGGTATGCATGTAGATGCTCCTTTTATCCAATGCGAAGCTGGCCAGTTGTCTTTTCTTAATGTTTTCACTTTTTCTATTGAACTGAATAGTTGGTTACATTTTTCTTTCATAGTAATTGTTAAACTCTTCTACATGAAAATGATTGTTAATCTGAGTCTTTACAACTGAAATTGGTTCTCAACATTCTTACGGAGTGTTTGGTAGCATATTTTTAGCTGGAATTAGCCATGAATTTAACGTAAATCCAGCCAAACACTAAAAATCTGAAATTTAAATCCTGCGCTCCATTAAATCGAACATTCGCTGTTTCCTTCGAATTTTGGACGTAAATCCTGCTTTACTAATTCTGATTCACAGACGGTCGCCAGTGTTTTTCCGTCAAATTGTGAATTTGATAAGTCCCGATTTTAATGTAAATTTCGGGCGCAGACAAACACCTCCTTTGGCTGATAATCATCGCTGCATATTTAAATAATTCCAGTGTAAATGTCAGACAGCAGTATCTATTGAACCACGTTAGTTCAGCTTCAAATCATTTATAGTGCAGAGTATAGAAATAGTAACGAACTCCATCTTATTAATCATTGACTATAATTAGTAAGACTAGCATGCAAAGCAGTTTCAATGCAGATGCTAAAAGGATTGAATGAAAATAAGGGGCATTTACATACATGCCACCCAAATCTTATTTATTACATATCTAACACCTAACCTTTACATTTTACATTAACATTACACATTATCTTTCATATCACATCAAAAATACTTCCATTTTAACTTCTAAAAAGTGAAATGCACCTTTTCATGCATGGTTAAGATGGCATGTGAGTAAAAATTGAAGTTTAGGTGTTACATATGTAAATCTCATTAACACCGGATAATTTGCATTTACAGGGACCCATACCAGCAGATCAACCGGCTCCAGAGTCCGCAGCTGCTGCTGAATTGAAGCCTCGTGGGTCTTCATCGAGCTCCGGTGTCTCCACCGATCGGAACCGAAACTATGCCGTGCTTGCCGGAACCATCACTGGCTTATCTGCACTAGGCTGGTACCTTCTCTCCAAGCCCAAGAAATCCATATCTGAAGAAATCTCCAGCTGAGCTATGGATTTCTGAGTAACTACTTTCTTGAATCAATTGCTATTTCTCATTGGGTTTCTTCTGCAAATCATACATTTTATTTTCTTTTTGATATTTAGTCTTTTGTCTACTGTTTTGCTGTTTAGGCTATAATTTTGCTTCAGTTCTAATGCATCTGAATGTTTAACATTGGAGTTTCTTGATATAGTTTCTGAGCTTGTTTTTCGGTTTGGTTTAATATAGGAAAATTTACATGCATGCCACTCCATTCCTATGTATTTACATGCCCAACCCCTAAACTTCAATTTTTTTCTTATATACTGCCTTATATATATGTATTTATGGGCATTTTTTATGTGTAAGAATTATTTGGGCGGTATAAATGTAAAAAACAAAAGCTTAGATTTTATTTGTGTAAATACATAGAAATTGGGTGGTATGGTATGCATGTAAATGCCCCCTTTAAAATATACATGATTATGGATTTTAATTAAAATTAGTTTTTATTTGGCTTATTTGGTTGTGGACTTGTGAGGAATATATATATATATATATATATATATATA